CTTTAAAGATTTACAAAGCACTTTATACACAGTAACTGCTGCTTTCATTATCCCCATTTTATAAATTAGGAAACTGAGGCTTGGAGTGGTTGACTTGTTCGTGGTCATATAGCTTTCCCTTCTCTCACACCCATCCAACTTCTCTCTACTTTTGATGTAGAGTCTAAGAAAGTTCTTGTGATTAGCTCTGTTAAAGAAGCAAGTAGATTATCTCTGCCCTCCTCCCTCCATTGCCCAGTCCCATGCAAAGGTCTGAGAGCAACAGAAAATCAGAGGAACAACACAGCAACATATAGCTTATAGGTACTGGAGACGCTCTCTGTCTAGAGAGGAAGGAAAGGCCTATGGGAAAGAGGAACTCAAGGATACATATCCTGTTAATATTAGAGGTACCCCTGCCAGATGAGCAGTTGACTGCCACACAAAGAAGCAGATTATTTGCTAGGAGGTTTATCCAAGAGACAATCTCAAGAAGTAGTGTTTTTCTGAGTACAACTACAGTATACTTAAAGATTTGTGGTCTCTGCTGTGTTCCTCATCAGAGATGGTGCTATGGTGAGTTAATAGCTGATCATTAGTTAAAGACCCACAGACACTAGAACTACAATAAGAAAGAAGGGAAGAAAGGAAAGGATAGTAGAGAAAAGCCATCCTTTCTTTTCTATCCTATCGGTTTCCCCTAAACATAATTACTCATTTTTATGTAACCCCATGCCACAGCAGCCATCATTCATGCCCTTTTCACCCCTCAAAAGCACTCAGCCAGTACCCACATAAGGAGAAGGGAAATGGGAGCTGATCTGAAAGTCAAAGTCTAAGGAACTGTCCCCAGTTCAGAGGCCATCAGAAGTGCTCCTGAAACCTCTTACTGAGCCCTACCCTTGTTAACTAATGCATTTCAAAGTTTTCTTATTATTCTACCTTTATTGTCTAGCATGAGGTATGTTTTAAATGAAGAATCTTATAAAAATGTTTGGAAAGAAAAAGATGACATTAAAAATTAAGGTATCATCTTGTTCTGTTGTTTCATTTGCACCCAACTCTTCATGACCCCCATTTGAGGTTTTCTTGGCAAAGATACTGGAGTGGTTTACTATTTCCTTCTACAATTCATTTTCCAGATGAAGAAACTGAGGCAAACAAGGTTAAATGACTTGCTCAAAGTCACACAGCTAGTAAGTGTCTGAGGCCACATGTGAACTCAGGTCTTCCTGACCCCAGGCCAGGAGATTTATCCACTGAGCCACCTAGCTGCCCTAAACGAGCAAAGTGGTTTTATTGCTGGTCAGTTACATATGACTCTGCAACCCCAAACGGGGTTTTCTTGGAATGGTGTGCCATTTCCTTTTCCAGTGGATTAGGCAAACAGAAGTTAAAGTGACTTGCCCAGGGTCACACAACTAATGAGTATCTCAGGCCAAATCTGAGCTCAGGTCTTCCTGACTCCAGGCCCAGCGTTCTATCCACTGAGCCACCCAGATATCAGCTTTCCATTAATTCCACAGAGTTCTAAGGTTCAATGGAGGATTATTCACTGGTGTTCCAGCCTAAGCAAAGAGATATTATGGGCTATTGCGACAACTAGGAGACATCAATTTACAGAGAATATAAATGACTGAAGATTTCCTTTCCCTGCCCCAACTAGACTAACCAAGGGAAAGGGAGAAAAGGAGAGAGAGAAATACAAAGAAAATAATACAACATGAAGAAGAAATGATATACTGTTATGCTGTTATTCTTGAACTAGATGTTTTTATTAAGTTTTAACTATAAATGTATTCCAAGAACAAACTAACAAATAAGAAACTTTCAAATAAACAACCAAATACCCTTTGTTAGCAAGCTGAGAAGGATGAAAACACAATGTCCATAAAATCCTTTTTTTCTTTCATTGGTAGCTCATACCAAACTTTTTTTTAATCTCTTAAATCTCACAGCCAAATACTTAGTTATGTCTTCTATGTCTAAAGAGTTTTCCACTTTACCATGGCTGTCCCCCAAAATCCATTAAAAATAATTAAATCACTGTAGTAGTAAAAATGAACAGCGTGGTGCAGTAGAAAGAATACTACCTGTGGAGTCAGCAGAAAACTAGTTTGGATTCCTGCTGCTGATACACACCAGCCATGAATTACTCTAGCTCTAAAATAAAAATAACACCTGTACTACTTGACTCATAAGGACCATTGTAAGCAACAAATGAGATCACAAGTTCAGAGTTAGAAGGGACCTTGGAGGGCACCTTAGTCCATGATACATACAATAAGCTCTTAGAGTGTGACCATCATCATCATCACTATTAACATGTACTAAAACATTCAGGGCCTAGAGATCTGAAAATTTTGCCAATGATGCCAAGTAAGAGAAACAGCTCCTTTAAATAATTTTATGAATAGCAAAAATGAAGTTTTAATTTAAGATATTAATGTATATAATTCTATAAAATCTGAATAATTTATAACTAACCTTCCCTTAAGCATGATTTTCCAAGAGAACAAGGAAGTAAAAAGATATTAACATACTTAATGTGCTTATCATAATCAAGCAGTAGAACAGGACAAGACATTAGGGAGTTTTTATATGTTTGTATGCTTACACTTTGTCCCCTTCCCCACATGTTATTTTTCTTCCCACAATAATCCTACTACTCTTCTAAGATGTTCAAATGAATCTTCCAAATGCATTTCAATACATATTTCTGCACTCATCTCATGCTAACCACTGTATTAAGTGCTGGAAATTCAAAGACAAAAAGAAAACCATCCCTACTCTCAAGGAAATGACATTCTACTGGAAGATCCAACATCAACAGATTTCCCCCCCCCCCGCTAATTACAATTCAGATACCTTACATTTAAAGACATTATCTTATTATTTTAAAAATCATTATTTAAACATTATTAAATATTATTTTTGAAAATAAACTGTGTTTATTACCTATAAGAGTTATGGGTCCAGATGAATTTAAAATAGTTTTAATATTAGAGTAAACTTGTCAGAAATCTAGGTTTAAATTCTTTCTCATTTCCCTTTCTCTAGTTGTTTGCCTATAAACAAGCCTCTTTATCTAAACCTCAATTTCCTTGTCTGTAAAATGAAAATAATAGTCACATTATCTTCTTCAAAATGTAACTAAAATCTTTTGTAACCTTCATGACTGCTGTGTATGCATGACCTCTTCTTCTCAGAACTCATATTAATTTTCTACCTCCTGGACCCTGATTTCTATATCAATCAAAAAATAATCTATCTTCTTCCTTCCCCTGTGTCATAAGGCATATGATCTCCAGAGAGGAAGAGGCCAAGATGTTAATACATAAGGGTTCTAAATACGGTGGTTTATGGAAGGATTTCAAGCCGTCCCTGAACTTGTATGGGGGAAGAAAAAAAAATCACATCTTTATTTTCCAAAAAACCTCTAACTGAAACTGAGCATCTTTTAATTATTTAAAAATATAATTCTGAGGGGTCCACAGGATTCACCAGAATGCTAAAGAGGTCCATGAAAATAAAAAAGATTTAATAACTCCAGATCTAGAAAAGCTTACTTCATCATAAAGGGCAGAACCAGTCACTACTGACTAGTACATTTGTTTCAGGCATGCTAGCACCCAAACCACTAACATCTCCAGAAGGGTAAAAGCAGAGAGTATCAGGTCAGCACAGGATAGCCCAAGCCCTGGGGAGGAAGCCTATATGAGTTAACTGGAGAAGCAACTTGAGGGCAGTCAAATGTTTACAAGTCCAGAAAGCATATGGTAAGGGAGGCAACTGACTACAAATTCATTCATTGCCTGTCAAAAACTGGGGAAGAGAGCTTGTTTTCGGGGTCTGAGAAGCAGGTGCATAAGGCAGGCATAGACTTTTTTTTTTAATTAGGCACAGACTTCTGTATGCAGAGTTCAGAGATGGGGAAATGGGCTGACATACATTATTATAAAATGACCTTGCCAAACAGAATCTGCACCAACTAGAAACGTGAAGCACTCCACCTGGACAGGACTGGACTAGTCAACTGAGCTCAAAAACAGGACTAGAAACACAGAGAAATGTCAAATAGTTGCTCCATCTGCATGTAAAACCACGATTAATTTAAGCTAGGAAACTTTCCCTATCTTTGTAACTGTAAGTGAAACCAACCCCCTAATACATTTTCATAATGTTTCACAGTAAGAAAAGTAGTAGTAGTAGATAGAACAACAGCCTTGGAGCAAGGAAGACCTAGGTTCAAGTTCATCATCTAATACTACCAGCTATGTGAGCTGGGCAAGTTACTCTCAGTGCTCTAAAGCAATTCTCTAACACAGTTCCCTACGCTAGTAAAATCATCAGATCAGTTCCTACCCCCACCCAACCAAAAGCCTTAAAAAGACCTAAAGGAGGCCACACTCTCCAAAAAACCTCATTTAAGATAAGGCCCTATGTCAGTTATATAAGCTCTGACAACAAAAGTAACTAAATTCTACACACCAGAGATAATCTAACTAGGTATTTCCCATTACTTCAAGGAATGGTCTTCAAAAATATTTTTAAACAAAGGTTTATTCCATTTAATTTTGAAACTCATCATTCAAAGAGTACAAAAATGTAAGAGTTTCTAAAGCTCAAATATAATAAATCTCAAAGTATCAGTTATATGAAGGATGAGAATTGCTGTCACCACTAGGTCTTCCCAGAGAAATAAAATTAATGAAGTTCTCTTAGGTAACCAGGTTGGGGAAAAACTTTTGAGGAATAGGTTTAACATTTATCATCCTGTTAAAGGAAATAAATTGGTTTCAAAAACATAACTGTAATTTCAAGCTATGAAAAACTAAAGCAAACAATTCTATTAAGAGCAAATTTGGTGGCAGTCAGGGGTCAGGTCCTTCTGATGTAAATATTACTACTACAAAAAGACACAAGGAAATGAATATTTAACTATAGCCAAAGTGATTCTTTTCTTTTTTTAAGCTTCCCTAAGAAAATATTTCATGAGGAAAATCTAAGGTTATACTTACTAGATCTAATGCAGAGCCTCCACCAAGATATTCCATTATTATCCACAATTTGGTATCCTAAAAAATAAAATACAAAAGAGGTTTAAAAAATAAATAAATCAAAATAAAGGTTTCTTTCTGAACATACTTTGGAGCTAGATGATTTTATAACTTCACTTAACAGGTTCAATTCGGAAAGGAATAAGAAGCTGTCACAATGTGTATTGAACCGTGAATGCATTAAAGTAAACTCATTAATAGTAAAGCTTCTGCTAATTGGAGATCAGTCTTCTAGAACTAAAAGGAAAAAGTTGGACAAGATGGCCTAAGTGTCATTCCCTTGCTAAAATTATTGCATGAATCCCCAGACTTCTGTAGAGACTCAAGAGCCAGACATGGTTAGGTGTCCTAAAAAGAAAACAACAAAAATAAAAACAAAACTTTAGAAGCAAAACAGCCACCTCTGAGGCAAAAGAATAAAACTGAGAAGAACTAAGTCTACAAAACTTACTTCTGATATGACAGGATTATCTTGGCCTGTTTACTGTGCCAAAGTAAAAGAGGTCTGGGTGGCTGATATCTTACAAAAGGTTAGGCTTTTTATACAGAAACAGGAAGATAGGATAGAGATGAAAGAAAAAGAAAAAAGAAAGTAGAGAAAAGAAAATGAATAAATGATGTAAATATAAAAGTTAATGCAAAAAGAAGGTAAGGGAAGAAGATATCTTTCATAATTACAGCTAATGAGAAAATTCTAATCTAAGGGACAGAGATAAAACATAAATCATACAATTTCAACATAAATTGAAAACCTTTTGCAAAGCACAACAGCTGCAGTTTAAGAATTAGAGTGGGAAACTGGAGACTTCACAGCAAATTCTGATAAAATCCTAATGTCGAATGTATATGAAGAATTTACAAATACATAAGAACATGAACCATTCCAACAGTTTACTGCAGAACAATGAAGAAGCATGCTTGCTATGAACCTCATAGCAAAAAGAGAGGCAGGTGATGGATTCAAGGTACAGAATGAGACATTTTCAGGGATGGACAATGTTTGAAATGTTTTGCTTGACTTTGTATACTTGTTACAAAGGCTTTGTTTTTATTTTATTTTTTAAAGGGAGAGAAAGAGAGAATCATAAAGGATGACTGGAAAAAAGAAAAAAAGCCAATCACAAACATTTTTTAAGATGCAATTAACCTAAGAAGACCAGAAAGAAATAAGAGTCAATTTGGACAGACTTCAGAGTTCCATGCTGAATTTATACACTTAAAAAGAAAAGCAAGCTATATAGAACAGATTCATGACTTTGTGTGAAATCCTCTTTTCCTGTTCTACAGAAGTGCTTATTTTATTCAGTTTATTAAATTCAGAATTTTAAAAAGTTTAAAAAGAAAAAACACAGGTGACCTTAAAGTAGAACTTTAGATTACAAAAAATTAAAAGCTTTTTCACAAGCAAAATTAGTTACAAAAGGAAAATTACAGAATATCATCACAACTAATTTTTCTGATCAATCTATTTAAAAATTTAGACATAAGAACATGAATAAATCTCTAATAGCTGAAATAGTTAAAAGATACAACAAACTCTCAAATGAATTTTAAAATGCTCTAAGTCTAAATCTCTAAATACTTAGAGAAATGTAAATTAAAACTATAAAGTCACATCCCATACTCATCATGTGGGCAGTGATTACAAATGTTTGTAAAGAGGTTATGTGAGAACAGACATAGTAAAATGGACTGCTGGTGAAGTTGTGAATTGATTCAACCACATCCAAACAATTTGCAACATCATTACATCAATTCTCTTTCTCTCTGTCTCCCTTCTCTCTACCCCAAACAGGTACACTCTTTGACCCAGCAATATTACTATGTTATATGTATGTATATGTGTATCTCTAAGATCAAGGATAGAAGAAAAGGGTCCATATGTACAAGAATATTTATAAAAGTACTTTAGTAATAGCAAAGAACTTGAAACATAACAGGTGCCTGGTAACCAAGAACTGGCTAAATGAATTATGTTTTATGAATGTAATGGAATATCATAGGCAATGATAAACATTGTAGATTGAAAAAAACATGAGAAGACATACTAAATGAAGCAGACTTAAATGGACAGGACCAGAAAAACAATTTACAATACATAATAACAATAATATAGAGGGGGAAAGACTCTGAAAGACCTTAAAACTCTGACCAAAGCAGCATCATGACTTCAAAAGGCTGGTCATGAAACACAACTCTTACCACTTGGTGTAGACATAAGTAACTTTTGAGATGTAGGATGATGTGCATTCATTAATTTATTCTGCAAGAATATATATTACAAAAGAGCACTTCTACTGGGGTGGAGGGTTGAAAGAGGTGGTAGTAGATTAGCGTGCAGTAACAGATATGAAAAAAAGGATACCAATAAGATATACACATTAGGAAAACGGTATAGAAGATAAAAAAAATGTTAATACCTTGTTTAAATTTTACACACACACACACACACACACACACACACACACACACACACACACACACACTTCTTTTGAAAGTTGTAAATAGTAAAAGCTTAGTTTCTTATACAAGACTCATTCTTTTTTGTATATTAAAAACTGTATTTATTGATTGTTAGATCCATAATAGAAAAAGAAAATGTTTCTAAAAAACACAAAAGATCAGTGGTGATCAATTAACAGCTATTAAGTGACAAAAATAGAGAAGAAAGTCTCTGCAGTGCTTGTTCAGGGCAAGGTGACAAAGAGCAGAGGTTATGAACACTCTCACATCCCCCAGGAGCAGTTCTATACAATATTAGGGGGATATCTATTGCTGTGTGCTCTAGTATGTCTTTTGATCTCAGTAGCTCCCAACAAGGCAGAAATGTTGTAGGGACATCAGCCACAAAGCCATACAATTCTAGGGAGCAGGGTATCTGGTAATATTTTCCAAGCTTCTTGCCTGCCAATGTTACTTCACTGATATGATGGTGTTATTCAGAATACGAATATGTCATTACAGAAAGGATGCCATGAGACTTGCTCCTAAAGGCAACCCACAGAACTGTAAATCTTGCTGTAGCAATTACATGGCAATTTTCAATTCTTTTCCTGAGCCTGGAATTCTATTCAAAGGCAGATATTAAAAGAATAGTTTGGAAAAAATTAGGTCTTGTTTTCGTGCCTGAGGAACTGTCATCTTTTTTCTGCTGAAGCCTTTGGAGTAAACTTTCTCCAAAACACGCTGGCACAAGTTCTTTAAGAGGCAAAAGCTATTACTGCTTCACACCCCATGAACAAACTCAGGGCAAGTGAAATAGAACAGGATTGTTAACTGTAGATGGAGCTGTGAATTAGTCCAACTGCTCTGGAAAACTACTTGGAATCATATTAAAGAAATAGTCACAACCCAATGATACCACTAACGGAAATTATTTATCCATGACTGGGAAAACAGCTAAACAAATTATGGTATATAAGTAGTATAAAGGAAAATAACTAAAACATTTGAAATTATGTATATGAAGAATTCAAATAAAGTTAGGACTTGAATAAACTGTTGCAGAAGAAAGTAAGCAGAAGCATAACAATATGCTCAATAACCACAAAGATGTAATGAAATACCTCATAACTCTTAACACAGCAACCAATCATCATGCCTGAAGATATATCTCCCAAACCCAGCCTCCATTCCTGGAAGTTCTCTCTCTCCTCACCTCCAGGTTTCCCTAGCATTCCTCAGGAGGAGCTCAAATCTCACCTTCTACAAGGGCCTTTCCTGACTCGACCTACCTAAGCATTACCTATATTTACACTGTATACATCTTGTATGTGCATAGTTACTTGCATGTTAGAATGTAAAGTCACTGAGGACAGACACTATTAAAAAAAATTTTTTTTCATTGTCTTGCCAGCACATAGCATAATCCCTAGCACTCAGTAAGCCCTTAACAAATTCTTGTTGGCTGAGTCAGCAATATATAGAAATAACTGGATAACTTATCAGATGTTGAAGGCAAATCAAAAGCCACTGACAGCAACCTTAGAGAACGTCATGGGTTTTTTAGGAGGACCAAAAGAAGGCTTTTTAATTCAAGAGTTATTTTTTTGTTGTTGTTGGTGGGGTAGTTTTGTTTTTTGGCAGAAAAACACCCCTGTTCTTTATAAATTAGAAAGGTGGTTATTTTTACCTTAATTTCACTTATTTTGATATTTGCCTAAACTTACGATAATAATCTATATATCTATGTGCATGTAAAATTTCCCAAAATACAGTAAGCTACTTGAGGGCAAGTAAAGTCCATTTCATCCTTCGAACCTGGCCAGCTGTATGCCTATAGTAGCAACTTAATAAACATTTAATTAAATTATTCCCTCTAGGAACTCCCAAACAGCCTTTTTTTTTGGGGGGGGGTATAACAGCAGAAAACAATTTCCAATTAAGACTAATAACACTGCACTGTATATTATAACCTGCCCCAATCATGGTTCCACCTATGGTGCACAGGATCACAAGTCCAAAAGGTTCAGATAAACAATTAGTAAAAAACATTCAGCAATCCTCAGGTAAAATACAGTCCATGAGACAGTAAAAAGCAGTCCAGGAAGATAAAAGAGACTGGCAGCTACCAAGGAATTTTTTTAAGTCTTAGGAATACTCCTCTCCTAAGTCCTAAAAACTGTCTTTATGTCTTCCTTGCCTCAACTACCCAGAGCAGAGCCACAGATCAATCCACCTGGAAGCAAAGTTAACTCAATCTGCCCCAGGTCTGCTTGATTGCTTCTGGGATCACAACAGTCTCAGCTGGTATTGGGGGGGAAGGTGTGTGGTGGTTAATAAAAGCCTCTCTGGCTCCATTAGTGTTCTGGACCACGATACTTCCTGATACAGGACAACAGAAGAGCATTCAAACGTTGAATTCCTGAACTCTTCTGGCAATCTACTGCAGAGGAATAAGGTGCTTAAATATATACGTACCACTCTCTTCTTATACTTATGTTCCTTAGTCCATGGTACCCTTTTATGGAGCATCAAAAGGAAGGCCCTACTGATGTCAAGATAAGCTTTCCCTGGGTGGATAATCTTTCCTCACTTTCCTTTAATTTTAGAGAGAAAACAAGCAAGCCCCATCTGCAACCAACTGTGCAATATTATTCTCTGGGAAAACTTTCTTGCTGACCCCAGAGATTAAAACATCCACACAGACTTCCTGAAACAGTAACAGGCCACAAACTATCCCCTCATAATTTATCCTAAAAACTCTATTCCTTATCAACTACTTCTAAGCTGCTTCTCCTTCTAATTAGCCAGCAAAAACGCAAAAAATTAGTCTTCTAAAGGAAAAAAGGTAATAAATACTCCCTCCTGGGGGATGGGGAGGGACACCCTCTCAACAACAAAAATCAAGGAAGTGTTTTGTTTTTTTTTAAATTCTTCAACAAGCAAAATTGGCATATACTTGGAATTCAGTTTTCTGTAATATTTTGGTTTGCCCTTTGGCCAAATAAAAGCCAACAAAAAATAATCAGTGACTTAACAGCAAAGGCAAGTGACCACTCAGTGTTCTCAAATACCAACAGTGCCATCCCCAATTATGGCTACCAGCTTCTACTTGGACAGAGAAAAGGGAACAGAATACTAGTCTGACTTCTGGTCCTTTTTATGAATATGACTCAATTTCTACCTAACCTGGTGGGGAAAGGGAATCCTGTGCTATGCTATGTATGGAAGGAGACAGGGCTCCTAATTGGTAAAGAGAATGAAAAAGCATGAGGGATCAGAGTTGGGACCAGAAACTCAAGAGGTTCAAGAGGAAGCTGCAGCCATGTAGGCAAAAAGCTGACTCCTCAACATGTCCCTGGATTTCTAGATTGCTTTACTAGAAGTTTTGGAGACTTTTCTCTTTGGTGACACTGAAGCTTCTCTCTGGTTTGAGTTGTTAGTCTTCCAGCAGAGTGCTTTCTTTAATCTTGTGTATTTTCTAGTATATTCTAATTCGTAGAACTTCTCCAATTTTCTTGCTACTTTGCTTAATTAAGTGGGTTCGTTTTTCACTACTTGTGATGGCCTTTTGTGTAAATATCATTTAGTGGGAATTAGTTAAGCTGTGAACTTAAGAAGTATGAACTTGCTGGAGTGAAACCAGGGAAACAGTTTTTTGTTTGGAAGCCCTAAAAATAACTGTACCCCTAGACAAACAATATTAAGACTTATCATTTTTGCCAGGAACACCTCAGTTACTGAACCAAAATTGCCCAGCTTCATTATGCTTTTATGGCCTACCTACCTTTCTAACTAATTTGCCATGCTATAACCCCTAAGTTTCTTTTATAAAATGGGAGTACGTCTGACATTGCCACAGGCTTTCTTCTTTTCTATATAGGCATCCTTCTAGACCTCAGATTGTATCTAGCCACACCACCTATGAGCCCCATCTATGACATACATACTCTGGTTGAATGACATTCTTCCATTACAAAACATTACTTTTATCTCCAAGACCTCTAAACTTGGTGTTTCTCTTTTCTACCCATAACTTCTACTTTCTCTGCCCAAAGATCCACAGAGCATTTCTAAGAGAGAAAAATAAAAACTTCACATAACCAGGAAAATCTGTCCTACTACAAGAAGGAGGCAATAAAGGAGGGGTGTGCCCTCCTTGGCTGTTGGCTTCTCATTCTTCCTTCTATCCAACGGTATTCCCTGAAACTGAATACTTATAATTAAGAATTTAGCTTTTTGCTCTTCTCCTTTAATCCCAAATCTCTATCTCTATGCTGGAGCTGTTAAACAAGTTCCAGTCTCCTATCTCTATTGTTTTTTTTTCCCCAAGTAAATGTAATCCTGCCCTCCTCTTCCCTACCCCCTCCCAGAACACTAGACTCCAAGTCAGGCTTTGAGCCCTATTTTTTGGCTGTCATGAATTAACTGTGTGACCGCAAACAAGTCACTTAACCTCTCTTGGTCTCAATTTCTTCGTCTATAAAATGAAATCTCAAAAGTTCTTTCCCAGCTAAAACACAGGATCCTATTAAGAACAAGTAGTTGTCAGATGAAGAAATCAAAGTATCTATAGTCATATGAAAAAAACACTCTAAATCACTAGTGACTAGAGAAATGCAAATTAAAACAACTCTGAAGTACCACCTCACACCTGATAAAACCGTTAAACTGTTCATACCCTGTGGTAAAGTGACAGTGCCACTAGGCCTAAATCCCAAAGATATCAAATATAGGGAAAAAAAGGATCCTTACGAACAAAAAGCTTTTAATAACTCTTTCTAATGGCAAAGAACTGAAAACTAATAAGGTACTCATCAATTGCAGAATGGCTGAATTATGGAATATGAATATATTGAAATATTATTGCACTATAAGAAATAATGAAGAGGACAGTTTCAGAGAAACCTAGGACGACTTGCATAAATTGATGCAGAGTAAGATAAGCAGAACCAGAAGAACAATTTATAAAATAACAATATTATATAAGACAAAAAACACTTTTAAAGACTGGGGAGGAAAAAAAAAACCACTGACAACAGGAAAAAAAAAAGCCAGTTTGAAAAAACACTGATCAACATATTGATCAAACATGATTCCAGAGGACTGAAGACAATACATGCTACCTACCTTTTGATAAGATACGCAAAGAGACATACATTTTAGGACTGTTCAAATGCAGGAAATTGTTTTGCTTAATTATGCATATTTTAAAAGATTTTATTTTCATGGGCAGATGGGGAGTGAGGGTAGGAAGCAGAGAAAAATGTTTATTAATTGAAAAAAAAGTACATTTTTTAAAAAGCCTGTTACCACATATTCTACAGTCCAGCCTTTGCAGAAGCAGTTCCACAAGTCTGAAATGTCCCCCTCTTCAAATTCCTTCCCTTCTTTCAAAGCTCAGCTCAAAGAACACCCCTTATCTGATCTACCCACCGGTAGGGCCTTCCAACTGGAAAATTATCCTGTATTTATTTTGCATATATTTTCCCCCCAAAACCAATGCTGTTCAGTTTAATAAATGGCCAAAAATGGTTTCAAATGGCTTTGGAAAATGTTTTTAACATTTTTTAAAAATGTATTTATTTTTAGTTTTCAACATTCACTTCCACTTTGCATGTATCTTATATCTAGTTACATGCTATCCACCCTAAGGACAGGAACTGTTTAATTGCCTAGCCCTAGCACAATACACCTGACACATAGAGCAGACACTAAATAAAAAGCTTATTGACTGATCTCACTCTTATCAGACTATAAATTTGAGGAGCACAAGGACTCTGTCTTAACTAAAACTTCCATCTCAGAACAGGGCACAGAATAGCACTTTGCACATAACTGATATTTTGCTTAATGTTAATTTGAAATTAATTTTTTAAAGGGGAGGCAGGGAGAATCTCCAATGAAACAAACTCATAGTAAAACAGAAAGACTGGGAAATCCAAAGACATGGCATAAATCACCTCCTCTTTCCCTTTCTTGCACTCATCCAAAAAGCATAATAAAATAAACAGAACCAACTCTCAATCATAAATTTGTTAAAATTTTCCAACCCTCCTCTCAAGAGCATGCAGTAAAAGTTCAATTCATTCAATCAAATGTACCAAAATTGGAATACATCTTATCATATTCCTGCCTCTAAATTTGCCCGGGAATAATCTAAGGGTCAAAAAAGAGACAGTAAAAACACTGAAATATTTGTCTTTTCCCACAGCAATTAAGGACCCAAAGATTTACTCTCAAAAACAGAATACTTTGCCTTTACTCACTGCTGAGCCATTTCTCAAGGGCACAATTTTTTAAAAAGTAAACAAATGCCCACAACAAAGTAAGGCACTAGTATCAAGAATTAGCTCTTCCCTAAATGGCCCTACAATCTAGAGAAGAACAGCATTAACAGAATGAGTAAAGACATTCTTCTCTTATTTTTAATATTTTGTAGAAGTCTGTGGGAAAGAATAAGAGAAGGAGGTAAGAAACACCTGAAGCAGGGTAAGATTTTGTGAAGCTGTTGTGTTTATGCTTTTTCTGCAAAGGCTGTCTCTTACTCCTGAGAGTTATTTCCTCTTCACTTTATCCTTTCAGTATTCCAAGCTTAGCTCAGATGTTTCTTCCTACATAATGAGATCACTAATTTAGAACTGGAAGTGGGGCTTATAAACTTCCCATTGTACAGATAAGTAAACTGGGGCTTAGAGAATGTAAATGACATATGGGCTTTCTTGGTCCCCACTTAAACTAATCTTCATCCCCTCCCATACATGCGGTTTGGGGTTGCAAGGAACCTAGAAAATGTCAGGGTACAGGGCAGCATCTGCCTAGAAAGGATTCACACACTCAAACCTTCTTCTAGTCAAAGTGGCAAGATTTATTGTAAAGCCAATAGTGCTAGATTCCTAGTAAATCTACAACTTAATGAGGGTGAGACTGATACTTATATACAAAAAAGGGGGGGGGGTGGAACAACAGTGAAAAGATTTGGCTGGGATAAAGGAGTGGTAAATAGCCTAGGGTGAGCCAAGAATGACTCTGAAAAGAGTGTCAAGTATCTAGGTGAGCTGGGGAAGACCGGAAGCTTTGGGCTAGATGCCAGCACTGTGCCTTGCTGAATCATCAGGGAAATTTCAGGGACTAGGTTGCTTTCAAAGACATTGAAAGGGATCCAGGTCCCATCACCCCATCAAATCCACCCAGTTATTAGTATATTTCACTTCTTCAAATTACTTCGTATTACTTGGTCTGCTTTTGTTTTTACTTACTTGTCTGATGTATCCTCTCCCCACCCCCCAGTAAGCTTCTTGAAGGCAGAAATTCTTTCAGTTTTGTCTCTGTAACTGAGACAAAAGCTGGGCACCAAATTGCCAGTTTACTACTTCAATATATTAACAATGAAGTCTAACAACATCCATTTCCAGGATCCCTGAGATTATCTCTGCAGTAAAATAACACAATGGACAAGAGTATAAGACATCTTAAATTTTAGGATCCCTTCAAATTGCAAAGATCTAATATAATATTAACTCACTAAATGGGATTCATTTTCTTGGCCAAAAATTAAAATACTTACTCCACCTGGGAGCTTGAATTTCATTCCATTTATTTGGAGGGAGAGGAAACAAAGAAAGCAAAGCAGCCAAATGTCTTGAGGGACTCTTCTCATTTGCTTTAAGAGAGGATGATGAGAGAAAAGAAAAGTTTCTTCACCAACCCCCACTTCTTCACAATACTCTGATGCAACACATTTCTTCTGCATTATCCTTGGCAAGCAGTCTCACTTTTTAAACAACTGACTGGCTAATGAAAAGCTATCTCCTGTTACTTCAAATCAGACTTTGCCTGCTGTTTGTTTAGCCTACCTAAAGGAAAAATGAACAGCTTTGCACCTCCTTTACTTATTGGCATTCAACAGAGGTTTAATGTACTGAAACCATTTCTACTTTTCCCAGAAACATGAGGACAAACAGATACTTGGTGTGCTAAAAATTACTCTCAGAGAAAACAGATGTGTTTTTCCCTTGCCCAGAAGTTCCATCTGTTCTGAGCCAATCAGGAATCCAGATGACCTCCCAAAACCAAAGTAAGGCTGACAGGGTAACTCTAATTCTACATGGCTGCATAACTGACCACGTTACTTCACAGATTCTGGTCCCCATTTTGTGGGAATCCTTGAACCATGGCTACATTACTAGCAGATGACCAAAGATGAATCTGGGGAAATTATCTTTCTGACAATCAAAAGTTTTAAATACCCAAAAGGAAGAACTTGAACAAAGATTTATTCATTGCCAAACTTTGGCATCAATACCTTACAATGGCAGTAAGACCAAAGAGGGTAGTGGCAAATGCCAATTTCAGCAGTAAGGAAAGTATCTTGTTCACTGTTCATAGATAGGCAATCTTTGAAGAAAAAGGAACTCTGAGAACCTATGACACCTTTGACATCAACTTGTGACTACAGCACAGGAAAAAAAAATCTAAGTGCTGACTAGCCATTATAAAGTAAAGATATTTAGGTATACTTTGAACAATCAGAGATGAATAGGTAACTAACAACTTCATATCCATCAGACCTAAAACATCTCTATGTATCATTGATACCATTACTATCTTGGGTCCTGATGTTACTGTTTCTCTGGGTGTGGCCACATGCAAATGATTAATAATTTGGCCTTTTTTTTTTTTAATAGAAGCCTTGTTTAAAAAGACACACAACAAACATCTGGAAAAAATTACTGCCCCAGAACAATTTCTTAAAAACCGCAAACAATTATCCATTTGACCATGTTTATATTAAATTTGCATGAACTTCCCAGGTCTGTTTCCAACATCTCTGAAAACATATTGCCAGAGCTTCTTATATACTTCTAGTACAGATGTAATCACAAATCCAAATCCATTTTCTTTAAAGTGCAACTATTCTGCCTGAGGGAATTTGATAGAAAAATAATAAGTAGCATAAACATGAGTTATTTTTAAATGACATCCAAAAAAATTTAAACTAATGGAGGTATACCCATGAAATAAATATCCCAAAGGAATCAATGACAAATAATAAAAATATCAGATAATTCAGATTGTAGGACAATAGAGAGATACATAGCATAGTGTTTGAGTAAGCAGTCTGCAATCAGAAGAGTTGTTGCTCAGGACAAGAAACAAAGTATATCATCAAAAATAAATATAACCAAATATTGTGCTATAAGAAATGATAAGCAGGCAGACTTCAAAAAAACCTGGAAAGACTTATATGAACTGATGCTGAGTGAAATGTGCAAAACCAGGAGGACACTGTACATAGTAACAGCCAGATTGTGTGATGACTGACTTTAATAGACTTAGCAATGCAAGGATCTAAGATCTAAGACAATTCCAAAAGACTCACAAAATGCTATCCACATCCAGAGAAGGAACTATGGAGTCTAAATGCAGATGGAAGCATACCATTTGCTGTTTTTCTTTTGTTGTTTTGTTTTGTTGCTTCATTCTCATGGTTCCTCCCATTAGTTCTAATTGTTCTTTTACATCATGACTAATGGGAAAACGTGCTTAATAACGAATGTGTAAGTAGAGCCTGTATCAGATGGCACACTGTCTTGGGGGGTAGGGTAAGAGAAGAGGAGGGAGAAAATTTAAAACTCAGAATCTTATAGAAGTGAATGTTGAAAACGAAAAATAAATTATTAAAAACAAAAACAAAATACAACCAGAAAAGAACTGAGTTATGTCACAAGATAGAGGCATAACTGTTGGACAGGATTCACAGTCCAATGATAATCATATAATGTCAGAGAACACCCAGACAACCAGTTAAAACACCACTAAACTGCAGACAATGCTTGCATCTGGTTAAAGCTAGCTGGATACTTTCCCTGAAACTAGGAAATATTCTTACAGTCATTTTCCGGAATATCACCTAAAGCAATTACCAGCAGAGCAGACCAAGACAAAAAGGTCATCTGACAATGGTTCAAAAACTTCCACTATAGCCTACCCCCTTAGGTAATCATGTGCACAGAGTAGAAGAGGAAGAGGTAATCAGTTTGATATTTTCATCGTGAGCACAGCAAAAAACAAGACTCAGTATCTCATGAAATCATGATTCTTGTTGCCTTTGCATGCATCAGGATACTAACTCCTTTATTTTTTCTCCATGAGGAACCTACGAGTTTTGTTGTTCAGTCATTTTCAGTTGTGTGACTGACTCTTTATGACCCCATTTGGGGTTTTCTTAGCAAAGATACTGGAGTAGTTTACCATTTCCTTCTCCAGCTCATTTTACAGATGAGTAAACTGAGGCAAACAGGGTGAAGTGAATTACCAAGGGTCACACAGCTAAGAAGTGTCTGAGGCCACATCTGAACTCAGGACGATGAATCTTCCCTATTCCAGGCCCCCCCCACTCTATCCACTGCGTCGGCAGGCTGCCCTAAGAGGCTTCCTTCCACTTAGCAGCAACTTTTACGTGTATTTTGATTTCAAGGTATAGCAAGAAAGGAAATGCAGATGTTCCACCTGTTACAACATATCAATGTATTTACTCATCATGGCCAAAGATCACACACATAAGAGTACGAAGAGTTAAAAGAATGTAGATGGTCAAGGAATTGTGAAATTCTTATCCTCTGTGCCCTGTCCTACCATTCCATCACCGTTCTCAGAAATAGAAAAGGGAAAACATAAAACTGAGGGCCATTTTGTACTTTTATGTTTCATGGTTCGGTAAAAAAAATGATTATTTTAATGTCTAATATTCTGGTGACAAACCTCTCCATGCTGACCAAAATGAAAATAGTATATTCACTTGATTTATAATTTCGAAGGTACACTAATAAGTAATAATAATGATATAAACATATTCATTCTATCTCAAGCAATCATACAATCAATAAACATGTATTAAGTGCTTAATTTGTGACGGGCACTGTTCTAAGCACTGAGAATACAAAAAGAGGCAAACGACAGTCCCTGCCCCCAAGGAGGTTACAATTTAATGGGGAAGACAACATGCAGACAAATGTGTGCAAAGCAAGCTCTACACAGCATAAATGGGAAGACATTAGAATTAAGAAGGGGTAGAGGAAGACTAGAAGATGAGATTTTTGTTGAGATTTAAAGTCAGAGAGGTAAGTAAATGGAACAGAGGACAGAGTGTTCTAGGCATGGGGGTCAGACAGAGAAAATTCTCAGAAGCAATACCTTGTTCCTAGAACAGCCAGGATGATGGTACCAAAGGATTGAAGAGTATGTGTTGAGGAATACAATTATAAGAAGACTGGAAATGTAGGAGGTGGTTACTTTATGAAGGGCTTTTGAGTGCCAAATAGCATTTTGTTGTCGATGGGGGGTCAGGGAACCAGCGTGATGTTAACATGAATGGAAAATCACTTCAGTGACTGAATGGTGGATGGAAGAAATTTGGTGGAGAATGAAATGAAAAATGGTGGGGAAGAAATTTGAGGCATTTAGATCCACTAGCAGTATATTGTAATAATCAAGGTATGAGGTGATGAGAGCCTGCACAAGAGTGGTGGCAGTGAAAAATAAGAGAAAGGGGTATATTTGAGGGATGTCACAAAGGTGAAATTGACAAGCCTTGGCAACAGACTTTAATATGTGTGGGTGAGAGATAGTAAGGAATCCAGGATGACTCATTGGTTGCAAGCCTGAGGGACTCAAGAGAATGGTGTATTGCCTTTTACAGTGACTAGAGAGGTAGGAGGGGAAACAGGGAGAAAAGATAATGAGCTCCATTTTGGACATATTGAGTTTAAGATGTCTACTAGATATCCAGTTCGAAATGTCTGCAAGGCGGTTGAAGATGTAAGATTGGAGGTCAGCAGAAAGGATAGTGCAAGACAAGTAGATTTGAGAAGCACCAGTTTAGAGACACTGTACTTAAATCCATGAGAGTGAATGAGATCACCAACTGACTTAGTGAAGAGGGGCAAGGACAGAACACTGAGGGACACCTATGGGTTACTGGGCATGATCTGGATGAGGACCCAGCAAAAGAGACAGAGAAGGAGTGGTCAGATAAATAGGAGAACTAAGAAAGAGTCCTCTCCCCCAAAAAAAACACCTGGATAGAAGAAAGTTTCAAGGAGAGGGTGATTAATAGTGTCAAAGGTTGCATGTAGAAAGGTCAAGAAAAATGAGACCTGAGAAAAGGCCACTGGATTCAGCAAGTAAGAGATCACCGATAACTTTGGAGAAAACTGTTTTGGTGGAATGATGAGGTCAGGAGCCAGGTATTAAAAGAGAGTGGGAGGAAACAAAGTAGAGGTGTCTACTGAAGTTGGCCTTTTCAAGGAATTTAGCTAGAAAGGACAGAAAAGATAGAATGATTGTTAGCAGGCATGGAAGGATCAAGGGAAGGGTTTTGTTTGGTTTTTGTGGTTTTTTTCCCCCAGGATAGGCATGTTTGCAGGTAGTAGGGAATGAACCAAGGAAGCCATCTAGCCCAAACCTTTTAAGAATAAAGTAAGCACAGACAGCTTAAGTGGATTGCCCAAGGTGACAGAGGTAGTAAGCTTCAGACAGCAAACATATTCACTTCAGAAAACCAGTTTACTCACCCAAACTATTCAAATAGAAATTTAAGAATTCAAATGCAGAAAAATGTGGTAGCTCAGCAATGAATATTGTTACGGATTATAACCCGGATTTCTTTAGACACACCATAGCTCTTCATACTAGTAGTTTAAAACACATCTCTGCCTAACCAGTAACAATCAGCTTGGGTCTTAAAGGGGGAAAGAAAAAAAAAAGTGGCAGATTTACTTTTAAGAAGTACCAAGGGGCAGCAAGGTAGCACAGTAGATAGAGCACCAGCCCTCAAAGTCAGAAGGGCCT